CCCGACGGGCAGACGGGCACGCACGGGCGGCCGGATGCCACCCCGGCGCGGGGGCAAGATGCGCCCAGGAGCCTTCGCTCTGACCCGCTGGGGAGGGCAAGAGCCCCCCCCCCCCGCCCTCTCCCGCGGGGGGGGCTTCTCCACTCTCAAAAGCACCCCGAGTTCTGGAGCCTGGAGCAGAGCGCGAGAGGGCTGGACGCCGGCGGGGGGCTCAGCGCCCAGCCCACGGGGGCCTTGCCAGAGCGGAGAAGCACCCCAGGAGGCCCGCGGGGGCCTGCCTGGGGCCCCCACTTCCTGGCCCAAGCCCCCTTCCTTTACCCCTCCTCTTCCGCACGGGCCAGAGGGCCTTGAGCAGAGGAGCCCAGCGTGGGTGCCCAGGCTAGCTGTGGGAGGTGCTGGGCACGCACCGTCCAGGGCACCAGGGCAGCCTGCTGGCGGACTGGCCAGCTGCGTCTGACTGGGGAGGACGGAAGGCGGGAAGGAGGGAAGGGCAGCGGAGGACCGAAGTTGTGTCCATGGCGACGTGTCTGAGCACCCCCACCCCCCGGGGCTCCCCCCTCCCCGCCCCCACCATTCCTGGGTATGCCAGATGCGCAGTGTTTTGCACACAGTGGCCCTGGGCAGTGAGCGCTTCAAGCTAGCTGTCCCCTCCCTCCCCCGGGAGCTGGCCGCCAGGCGGGGCCAGCAAGGCCCTTTGCCTCTGAAATCCAGAAGCCACCCGGAGAGCTGAGCTGTGGGGAGCTCCCTGCCTGTGCTGACCCTGCAGTCAGCGCAGATTGCGGGGAGAACCGGGGGTGGTGGACCCTGGGCCCAGGACAGGCGTGTCCGGGGGGCGGGGGGCGCTTTTATGCCGGCCTCTCGCGAGCCGGGTGTCGTGGGATCGGAGCGCTGGCCCGGACGCCCCGCTCTCCCGGGCCCCGGGCCCGGGTGTGCGGCCACAACATGGACAGCCGCCCCCATAACCTCAGGGAGCAGGGGGCCCCCGCCACGCCCAGCTGGGTCTGTCTCAGGAAGGACCGGACCCCAAGCTGCCCTCCGGGCGCCCCCCAGACAGGGCCTCCTCCGAGTGTGTGTGTCCTTCTGCCCCCCCGACCTTGGGGTGACCCCGGGGCCACCCCACGGTCCTGGCCCAGGCGGAAGGTGTCCGGGCAAGGACGGGCTCGGACGACCTTGGCGAAGGCCATCTACCAGGAGGCGGGTGCCGGGAGAGGCCGGGGGCGGAGCCAGCGGGCCGGGCAGCCCGGCGCTGACCAGAGCCAGTGGCCAGAGCCAGCCTGTGTGGCCGGCCGTGGCCTTGCGGTGAAGGGCTGGCTGGGGGGCCCGGTGCAGGGGGCCGGGGCCTGCGACACGGGGGTGGGGGACGCCTCCTCAGTGGCCCTCGCCTGCCCCAAGCTGGCCGCGTCCCCCAAGAGCCGTCCCTGGGCTCTCAGAGCGCCCGACCAAGTGACCGGACATTTTCCCCACCGCCCTGTCCGCTGTCCCCAGGCTCTTTCCGCGGCGTGAGCACTCTGTCTCCTGACCTCTGTGTCATCCACTGTCTCCCCGGCCCCTCCAGGCCCCCCCCAGGCTGGGGTCCCCCCACGCCCCGTCACTTTGTGGGAGGGTCAGGAGGCAGGGAAGGGGAACCACGCGGTCAGTCCTGGGAACAAAGTCCAGGACGCTGAGCCCAGCACCCCCGCACCTGCGGCTCTGAAGCGCTTCTAATGTCCAGCGCCCTGGAGTTCCTGAGTGTGGCTGAGGGTCCGCGGGGCTGGGACGGGTCAGCCGGGGGCTCCGGGGTGGGGGCGCACGCGGGAGCCCCGCACCTGCCGTGGCCGAGGCCTCCCGTGGTCTCCGTGTCCGGTCCACCCTGCACATTCGGCTTCCACTGCAGAGACCCAGCTGACGCTGGACTCGGGGCTGCGCGGCCCCCCGGGACGGGAGCATGCAGGACGGGGTCAAGGGGACAGTGACCGCCAAGCGCAATGCAGGTGCCCGCGGGCAGGGTGCCAGCCCGTCGTCACGGCCAGATGCCTGGACGGGCCAGAGAGGGTCGGGGTTGGCGGAAGACCCGGGGTGTCCAGGCGCCTTCCAGGGAGCCCCCGGCGCTCTGGTCCTGCAGGAGCCCGGAAGGTGACCGCGTCCGGTGGCGTCCGCACCTAGG